GCCCCTATTTAGACCTTGGCAGTGGACATGTTTTCAGGGACACTTAGGAAGGAGGAACTTGCTTAGTTAAGGTCACGTTCATCCTGGAGCAGAGCACCGAACTGAGAAAAGACGACCAAGGGCAGGTGTGGTGCTCTTGAGAGGATCAGAAGGCTTCTGTTGAATCTCAGGCCAGTGGAGGGACTTGCAAGCCTCGGGGCTCAGGGAGAGCTGCACTGCCAGCCAGCAGGCTGCTCACATGAGGCTGGGGGCCCGTCCAGGACAAGTCAGTTCCTATTCCAGGAGGGAGGTTCACCCCAAAGATCCCCCAGTTTAGTGGTTCTGGGCACGTGATCCATCTAAGACAGGTGACTCTCGGCTTTACAGCTGCCCCAGAGCGAACATTCCTCATCGGCTCTTGTTAATTCATCTTGTGTTTGAGAAATCTGTCATGATAGTGTCAGAGGCTTTTCCTCCCTGCAGTAGGTCGACACCACACTCTTTCTTTCTTTCAATTTTTTTTTTTTGTAGGGGAGAGGTAATTAGGTTTGCTTATTTATTTATTGTTTTAGAGGAGGTACTGGGGATTGAACCCAGGCCTCGTGCATGCTAAGCACACACTTTACCACTGAGCTGTACCATCCCCCAAACTCTTTCTATCTGGTGATGACTTTCTTGGGGGAGAGAGGCATCCCCAAACCTGGTTCCAGAGAACTCAATGCAAAAAGCAAGTGAGACCTCGGTTACATAGGCTGCCTGGACGTGGGTCTGTTGGGGCTCCTCCCTGGATGGCCCCTCAGCCCCTGACAGGCCTTTCTTTCGGTTTGGTCAGGTCTGTGACGAGCCCCACCCCTTGCTGGTGAAGGAGATGATCCAGCACTGCGTGAGCGCCGATATCGACGAGGCCTACAAGGTGGGTCCCTCGCCTCCCTGATTCAGGAGGAATCCCTCCCTTCGCCAGCAGGGAGAGGAATGCTCCCTGTGCCTGGGGCCGTGCCCCACTTCATTCTTAAATGATGCTAGGATCGGGTGAGAAAACTGACCCAGACAGGCTGAACTCCTTGCTCTGAATCACACTTTTTGAAAGTAGTGGACCTGGAATTCAGTCATGCCTTTCTACTGTTGTTATATTCTCTGCAAGAGGAATTTGTCCACCTAAGACGTGAGTAAAGACCAGCCCAACTCCTTGCTTTTAGAGAAGCCATCTTTCTCTCTGTTGAGGGAAGATGTCCCCCTCCATCCTCCTGAAGAGCCTGGGAGTGGGCATTCCAGGACCCAGAGCCTGGTTCTGGGAGCAGATTCCAGTGGGCATCATTGGGGTTCAGGTGGCCCTCAAGTCGACACGGATGACAGTGGTATGATCTGGGGCCACTGGCCAGTTTCCCTTCTGCTGCCACCAGACTAAGCTAGAAGTTGACTGGGTTTAGAGCAGGGCTAGACCCTTGTGAAACTGCAGTGCAAGGCAGGGAGACCGAGCAGAGACCCAGGCATGGGCCCGAAGGCAGCCACCTGAGTTACACACACAGCTTCTCTGACCCCTGAATTCACCAATACAAAAAAAGCTGGCTCCAGACCCTGCGGTCTGGGCTGGGTGGGGCTGGGTGGGGCCTGGAACTGGGCCTGCGGTTGAGAAGGCAGGAGGCTGAGACCAGTGCGGTCATCCCTGCCCTGGTCAGGATTTGTTCAGGGCTAATAGTACAGCGATGTGTGTTGTGAGTGGCAGCTAGGGAGAGAGCATGGCAGACACTCCAGGGCACCTACCGAGTTCTAAGAGCCTCGGATAAAGACATTACAGGGTGTGGTAGTGGACCATCTTGCTGTATGGTTTAAAACATTTGCAGCATTATGGCTCTGCCTGCGGGGAAGATCAGTCACCCTGCAGGATGTAAAGGGCGTGGCCCACCAGCGAGGCCACTGTGTTCGGCTGATTCTCAGAATCACTTGTGCAACCTCAGATGGTCTGTCCGCCCCAAGCTGTGTGATGGGCCTGAGAGCGGGGTGGGTTTAACCTCACTTCCCCCCAGGATCCTTGTTCACAGTTACACGGCCCCTCTGTATTTTCTTTCGTGCAGATCCTCGCTCACCTGTGGCATCTTGGCTATTCTCCAGAAGACATCATCGGCAACATTTTTCGAGTGTGTAAAACCTTCCAAATGGCAGAATACTTGAAACTGGAGTTTATTAAGGTCAGTGAGAATACACCAGTGCCTCTCTTCTCAAGAACGCGGGCTCCGCTGCAGTTTTCTGTGGTTTCCTCCCAGGCCAGGCGCCTGGAAGATGCTCAGGAAATGGCCAGTCGTCCTGGGGGCTGGGGGCTTGTCTAAGCCCAGCCTTCCAGGCAGTGACCTAGTTTCCCTTAGGATGACTCTTCACCAGAGGGAAGTATTTAGGTATTTGTCTCTAAGGTCAGATTAAATGAGGTATAATTTAAATAGAGTAAAATTCTATTTAAATTCTGTTACTCTGGGGGTGCATTCTATTGACAGAAGCATTCAGTCATTAAAGACCACTACAGTCAAGGTATGGGCAGCTCTGTAATCTCCCCAGGTTGACGTGCCCCTTTGTAGTCAGCTCGTCTCCCTAGCGCCTGGAGGCCACTGGTCCATTTTATGTTTGGGGGACAGAATTTTCCAGAAGGTCATATAAAGGGAATCAGGCAGAACGGAGCCTTTTGAGTCTGGGTTCTCACGTGGCGTAACATGTCTCAGATTTGTCCACGCCTGTGCCGGAGGGTCCTTTTCCTTGCGGAGTCCGGTTCCCTTGTGCGGACATCCCCCTGTTGTTCACCAGTAGGGAGCCGTCTGGGTCTCCGGGTTTTGGTGACTGAGTAGAGCCACTGTAAACATTTGTGTGCATGAATTCTTGTGACCGTGAAGCCCAACTTTCATTTCTCTTGCATAACTTCCCAGGAGTGAGACTGCTTGGCTGAGTGGTCTGCCTAGGTTTAACTTTATAAGAAGCTGCCAAAGTCTTCCAAAGTGGCTGCAGTATTTGCCTCTCTGTCAGCAATGTATGGATGTTCCAGACGACCCACCCCCTAGTCAGCACGCGGTGGTCTTTTTTGAGCCATTCTAATAGGTGTGCTGTGTGGTAGTATCTCCTTACGGCTCTAATTCATGTTTCTCAATAACTAGTGATGTTGAGCACTTTCTCAGGTGCTCGTTCGCTGTCCGTGTCTTCTTTGATGAAGTGTCTGCTCAGATCTCCCCATTTTTAAATTGGGTTGTTTGTGTTCTTGTTACTGGGTTTTGAGGATTCTGTGTTTCTGATTGCAAGTCCTCTATCAGATACGTGTTTTTTAACTGTTTTCTCCCAGTCTGCCTTTTTTTCCCCCCTTTTCCATTTTCTTAGTAGTACCCTTCAAAGAAACTTCAGCATCCTTTTAGGAAATAAATTGAACTTCTTAGAGTTCATCTTCAAGCTGGAGTTTGAGTTCCCTGCATCAATTCTGAGCATACCATAATTCAGATTTTTAAAATTAAACTCCTCTCTCACTTATTAACCAGATTTAAATTTGACATTTTTTCCCCCCCAGGAAATTGGATACACTCATATGAAAATAGCAGAAGGTGTGAACTCCCTCCTGCAGATGGCAGGGCTCCTGGCCAGGCTGTGTCAGAAGACAATGGCCCCAGTGGCCAGTTAGAGCGGAGAACCAGTCGGTTGTGAGACAGGAGTCACAGCTTTCTGATTTGGGAAGAGCGCTGCCTTGGACCAGCCCCGGAGTGAGTCTTCCTGGCCTTCACTGCTGCGCAAGCGTTTGCACTCAGCCTTGGGCTCATGATGTGGCGACAGCGTGGAAAGGCCCCAGAGAACCTCCAGGGCAAGGCACCCAATCCGTACGTGTATTGGCATTTCACTAATAAAACCAAACAGTTTTATTGGCAGTAGGGTGGCAGTGGCAGGCTGCAAGGAAAGCTAGCTTCCTGTCTCTGTAGCATCCTATGTAGAAAGGTGACTCTGATAATAGACTGGACAAACTAACCTCGGTTTTCCTAGAAGACAATTCCAAAGGTGGGACAGGGTTGTAATTTACCCATTTCTCAGAAAAACCAGGGCCGTGAGCCCTTCAGTAAGGACTTGGCAAGAATCACCGAGGAGGGTGGTCGTGGTAGCAGCACGTGCTAGGGGAAACGCCCGCCAGGGCACCTTTTCTGTGCAGCCGTGTGTACTCGCTTTAGAATTTCCCAGTGAACTTTGTATTAACTTGTAGAATTTCTTTTTTTGGTGGGGGGAGGTGTCAAGGTACTATTGTTTTAAAAATTATAAGAAATATCAATTGTACATAAAACAGAATGCTACAGTGAACTTCATATACTCATCATCCATTGTAACAATTTTACCCACATGCAGCCGGTCTTGTTTCTTCTGTGTTCGCACTCCCCATCCTCCCCCATGCCCAGATTGTTCCGAAACCAGTCCCAGGCAGGGTTAGACGTGTGCCTGGACCACGTTATTGAACGGACACAGGAAAGGCTCCAGGGTAACGGGCCCTTTGGGTTAGGGTTTTGATTAAGAGGTGGGGAAAGTTAATTAAGGTCCTCAAAGGCTGCAAGGTGAGCTTTCACAGACTTTGGCACACCTCCTTGGTCTTATTTTTGGGATCCGGGTGAGGTGAAGGGATGGTTGTGCCTGCTGTGCAAGTGAGACGCCAGCTTCTCACACCCGGTGATGGAGGGGCAGGGCCCCTGCCGCTGGAGCAGCGCCCGGCCCCACTGTACCTGTGCTCAGGCCTGCGCCGTCCTCTCCACACTGTGAGGCCAGGACTGCAGGGCGTGAAGGGAGAAGGGGCCATCCACTGGGCTGTAGGTGTTTTTTCTTCTGGTTTCCTAACTTGCAGCATTAACTTCTCGTGGAAAGAATCAGTGCAGCGTCTGGAACAAGTCCTGGACTCCGGACCAATCTCCTGTCCCCCGCCTTCTCTCTGGGCCTCAGGGTCCCTTCTATGAAATGAGAGGCCTAACCTTCATTCCTGTAGAAGGTTCTGTGCGAAGCAGGGAAAGCAGACACAGGAGAATCACTGCTCTTAAACTGGAACAACAGTTTATTGAGATGTTTCTGTTGGAGAAGGCATTTTGTTCCGCTGACTCTGGCTTTTCTGACTCAGAAGGTCCCTTGGGCCCCCCCACCCTTCCCATGAGACAGTCATGTTTCTGCCCAGTCAGCTGAGGGCCTCAGGGTAACTGTGGGGTGCCCCTCCAGGTCACCCCCACTCTGCTTGCCCATCCCCTAGAACTGTGACGTGCCTTGTCCACAGCAGACATTCCCACTGAAGGGTCACAAAGATGGCTTGGCCTCATCTCTAATTCAGTCAACTGAGACCCAAAGAAAGGAGCACCAGGGCTCCCCCTCACTGCTTGCTGAATTTAAGTACCTGTAATGCTTAGAGGAGACAAGATAGACGACACAACCTCTACCCTGGATGCAGAATATTAAATACGGCTCTGCTTATATAAATTAACTGTACAAGCTTATCACAAAGATTATCCCAGCAACTGACATTAGTAAGCAATTTGGGATCAAAATCCAAAGCGAAAAGAACACAAAGAACACCCATGTAGTACGATGTTTTAAGTATAGTTAAGGGGATGCGAGTGCCTGAAGTCCTGGGCACCCTAGCACAGTGGGAGCCACCCTTGGCCCTGGGCTCTGCCCAGCCCGCGGGAGCTGGGTCAGAGGGCCAGTCCGTGTGTAACTTGTTTCCCCGGGCTGGGTGCCCCGTGGCCAGATGGATGGTCCCCTGAACATGCTGGTGCCCCTCCCAGAAGTAGCCACATGGAGTCTAGAAGCTGAGCAGCTCTGGAGAAGGGATCCTAGAGAGGCAGTAAGTGGTTCCTTGGCTCCTTCAATGAAGAAGAAAAGCATTTGTTAAGAGGGAAAGGTTTACCTGGCTTGACGCTTTGTCCCTTCAGCCCCGGAGCAGTTGCTCAGGTCAGGGGGGGATGCCCATTGACGGTTAGCATCCAGTGAGCAGAGAACCTGCCTGTCAAGCAGCCTTAAAAATCAAGCATGTTTCTTATTCCAGGAGCTTCTGCTTTTCGTTTAAAACCCTGCCTGCTCCTCGGTCCTGGCCGAGGCCTGCTTATTCCTACCTGTTGGGTGTAGGAACACCCTCTGCACTGCCTTCGCTTGCACGTGTCCTGTGACCAGTACCATCGAGATGCGTCCTCTCCCCTCGAACCCAGAAGGGACCCGACTTGAGGGTATCAGGTTCTAACCCCACCCTGCCCTCCACCTTACCTGGCAGCCCTTCAACTGACTAAAACACAGGGATTGGGCCGCTCTGGTCTTGTCGGGCCACTGTGGACGCCAGCCTGTGGAGTTCAGACCCTTCTCTGTGCGAGGTCCGGGGTGTGATCCCAGCTGGCCGTAGCCTGACCCCAAACTTAACCTCCCTATCATTCGTCAGCGTACAACATACTTAGATTTCTTTCGTCTTAAAGACCTGTGCAACCTCTCCGCCCCTGCCCTCTCCCTGAACCCAGGCACGGCTCTCTAGACGCCCATTTCACATCTCCCCTGCGTGGGCATCTCCCACTTAACAGGCCTGCCCGCAAAACCTGCCCCCTGCAGCCTCCTGGATCTCAGTTGCAGAAAGTGATGTCCTCTCATCACTCAGGCACAAACTTGTAGGCCTCTTCAGCTCCCCTCTGACTCGCCCCCAGCACCCAGCATGTGAGTGGACCCCACTGATGCCACAGATCACTCCGGATCTGCCTCCACCACCGCCTCCCTAGATTCTTGCCTGGTCTCCCTGACCCAACTCCGCCCCCTGTGTCCGTGTCTCTGCTCGGCAGCCAGTGAGCCTTTAGAAACATCAGGTCACTCTTCTGCTCCCGACCTCCCCGTGCTGCACACATCCCCCATCTCAGAAAACACAGGTGCTGGCCCTGCCCACCTCCTGCCGCGCCCCCATCATTCCGCCCGCACCCCCTGGGTCGTCAGACCCCCACTCCTGCCAGGCAGCCTTTGTTGGTCTCCCTGTCTGGGTGTCCTCTCCCAGAGGGGTGGGGAGGGGAGCTCTGAAAGGCTCCCTGCTGCCCTGCCCCGCTTAAATTGCAGCACCGTGCCCACCCCACATTCCTCCCTGCCTCTTCCCACCACCTAATGTGCCGTATTCCTTTTCTGTTCTCTTATCTTCCGGCTGGTTCTGTTTTCTCTCTCCCACCAGAACATGTGTTCTAAGCGGACAGGGAGTTGTGTGCATTCTGTTTATTACTGTGTCCCCAGCACCTGAGGCCGGCTTGCCTCTGGAAGGCGCCCGCTAACCACTGGGTCAGTCAGTGAATGGTGGGCTCTGCGCGTTGGACTTGAACTTCTGCAGCTGATCCTGTTGCTGGTTCTCGAACGGCCCAGGCCTGCCACCCACTGAGAGGGTTGCTGTGCCCCCAGATCGGGACTTCGGGCAGCCTTCCAGGGTGGCAGGGCCTGGGCTCCAGTGTCTGAGTGCTCACTCTTAAGTGTGGCCTCGGGCAGGTGGCTCATCTCCACTCTGAGCCTTTGGGGCACTAAGAGATGGTGTATGTGAGCTCTTGGCACCGTCACCTCCCAGTCCTGCACACACCCCTGAGTCCAGCACAGGCGAGCCTTCCTGGGTCATACTTCCTGTGCAGGGTCTCATCTGAGATGCAGGTCCCACTAGCTCCATATTGCAAGCGAGAAAATAGGTCCCAGGAGGTTAAGTCACTTGCCTAAGGTTGCAGAAACACCTCTTCACCCCATCCACGACCTACCAGCCTGCCCTGCCTGACACCCCCTCGGCCTGAGACTCTGTGCCTGCCGTGAATCTGTCACCTCACCACACCAGCCGCAGGAGTGGGGGCTGCTCGGGAACCCCACGGAACCACCCCTTTTCAGCACCCAGGGGTGCTGCCCCACCAAGGCTCCTCCAGCCCCAGCTTTTCCCTTGAAACGTGGCCCACCGCCCTGGACCATACCTTCCTCCAGATCTTCCTTAGGCTTTTGTGACCGCCACGTCTCCATTCACATAATCAGGCTCCCCACTGTCCTCATCCGGGCTTCCTGCCAGGGAGGGAGGTGCTTCCCTCAGGACTGGCTCTGCAGATCAGTGGGCAGACGGTCAGGTGGCTCACACGGACACACATCCACCCCTGTTTCCCCAGACACCACAAAGCAGCCCGCAAGAAAGGCTACACTGGATGATGTGTCCTGTCCCACTCTCTGGGATTTGCCAGAGATTTGTCTGGCTCTGGAAGCAGGGCAAGTGCAACTCCACCCGTGCAGCTGGGCAGGCAGCCGGCTAGGAGGCCCCGGTGCTGCTGGAGGGGTCCCTGGCACAGTTCGAGCCTCGGTAGTCATTGATGGAATCAGCTGAATGACTGCAGGGGAGCCCACCCAGCCTTGCCCTCCCACACCAGATCCCGAAGTTCCCCTTCCTCCCCCTCATCCTGCCTGTCCATCCCACGCCAGGCCCCTCTGAGTCCTGAAGGTGACCACTCCGGAGCACCTGGACTCTGGCCACATACCCACGACTCTCCTGGACTCCCGCCACTGCCGGATGGATGCTGAGTTCTGATAGTCCTCAGACCCCTCGTCGTCTGCAGGGAGAACACCGTGAGAGGGGCTGGCCGAGGGGCAGCCACCGGGGCCAGTCCTCAGGCCAGTGAAGCGCCATGGCTTCCCCTCCAGAGGGTCAGCCTGCGTCCTCATGCTGGCCGAGGTGGAGGGGGATCTCCTGAGTGTCTTCCCGCTGAACCCGGGGCTGATGGAGCCTCCTCTTGGGACACAAGGTCTGAGATTGGTGAAGTGTGCAGGTGGGGCTTGTGGAGGAGGCCTGCCTCCCTGCCCAGCTCCAGCGCGAGCAGCCTCACCTGATTCGGTTTTATTTTGCTTACAGATGAGCACATTCTCATAGGAGTTGGTGTCATCGTCATCTGCAGAGAGAGGGGAAAGGGCACGGGATGCTGGTGGGCCCTGCCCCGCAGGCCTGGCACTTCCTTCCTCCCTCTGTCCTGCCAAGGCCCCAGCCCTCTGGGTCCCCAGGGCCTGAAACATTCTCCTGAACAAACTTCTTCTTGGGCGCTGGCCTGGCTCCAGCAGCCTTCACCTTGGTCTCCGCCTCGGTCTTCCAAGGTCACCCCCCAATGCACTGGGTGAAGGAGACTGGGGACAGGGCTGTAATCAGGCCCAAGATGGATAAGTGGAGGAGGGAGGCCCGTTTCTATTGGCCAAAGAAGGGCAGGGAGAGCTGCCAGGGCCAAAGAGAGACAGGAACCAGGCTTAAGGTCATCTGGAGACAGGACCCTTCAGGCAGGAGGGCAGGCTGAGAGAGAGGATCCTTGCCCAGAGGCCTCGGTTAGTTGTGGCGTATCAGAGCCTGGTACCCCGACACCGCCACAAGGGGGAACTGAACTGTAAACACCTCCCCACCCAGCAGCCATCTGTGTCAAAGAGATTCTGAGCAGTGAGGGCCCCTCCCCGATTTAGAAGTGGCAAGCGGGAGAGGAGGACCCCCTTCCCACCCTAGTCCGGCCGAGGCCAGAGCCCAGGCCTGTGTCCTCAGCAGGCACTGCCCACCCTCGGTTCTCAGTTTCTCTTTCTGTAAAGCAAAGGTGTTAAAGATTCCAGCATCCTCAGAGCCTACAGGGCTCAGCGTCAGCAGCAAGGCTGGCCCGTGCAGGGCATTCCTCCGAGGTCCCACCAGTGTCCAGCCTTGAGCAGGGCCTGGCTGACAAGCAGCCCAGCCTGCCCCCTGGCCTCAGCTCCCCCTCTGGTGCCCCCACCCCTGGCACATCCCTTCCCTCCTCTGCACCTGGGCTCCTGCCTGCAGTGCCAGCCTCCTCAGCTCCCCCACTCCTCCATCCATCCAGACCCAGGCCCAGCCTCCTCCACCTCCTCCTAACAACTTCTGGACCCAGGGATGTGGCTTCTGAAGCTAAGCTCCTCCCTCTCCCCATCCTTGTCCTCTGCCTCACCTTCCAGGGGCTTCTGGAGCTGCCCGCGGCTGTAGTAGTCCATGGTGATGGGGTCTCTGGCAAGAAAACACAGACACAGCACCAAGTGCTGGGCAGGCCCTTGTTGGGGTGGGCCTTCATGAGGAGGCAGGGAGGCCATGGCTGCTCCAGCCATAGGTCCCCAAGAGCCCATGGGGGCTTGGCCAGGGTCTCCCCCAATCCCCCCATCCTGCTTCCCCGGGCCCCTGAACCACCCTGGGCTGAGGGAGTGGCGGCCTGGCTCTAGCCACCTCACCATGTGACCTTAGGCAAGTCGCCTCCTGCCCCGGGGCTAAGTTTGCCCAGCTGTGAGAGGAAGCGGCATCCTGGAGGCCCTTCCTCTGTGGGGTTCCATGGAATTTTTCTGACTAGGTGAACCAGGACGAGACAGCCCCTCTCAGAGCAGGGCTGTGTCCCTGTCCCCACAAAGTCATGGTCATCTGAGGGGAAACAGTGTGACAGAGAGCCTGCCTGGGCCAGCGGGTTCCAGGGCAGGAAGCCATTCTCACATAAGGAAGCTGAGGGCAGGGGCGGGCGAGGACAGGGAGGAGGTGGCCAGGGCCCGGAGAAGGCCGCTCACATGTAGGCTGCATCTGATCTGTGTCTGCTTCCTGCAAAAGGAGGAGGTGAGAATTAGGCCTGAGCTGGGGCTGTGGGCCCCCACCGTGGCCCCCTCTTCCACGGAGCCCACCTACCTTTGCTGAAGTTCTGGTACCTGGGGGAAGAAGGATCTGGAAGAAAGGCCAGGCCCATTGGCTCATTGCCAGTTCCCCAGCCCCCACCCCTTCCCAGCTCAGCCAACCAAGGAAGCCAGGTGTTTCCAGTCTTCACACCTTTTCACCTGCTCTCCGTCCCCTCCCCATCTAGGCCAGCCCCATCAGGCCTCCCAGCCCAGCTCATGTGTCTCTCCTCTGGGGAGGCCTCCCTTGCACCTCACCTCCCGCCAGGCTTCACCTGTCTCTGTCCCACCTCGCCCCGCCCCAGCCCTGTGTCACTCACCCTCGAGGCTGGGGGAGAACCGCAGCAGCTTGTCCTTCCTGCAAGGGGCGGGGGGGGGGCTGAGGAGGTGCCGCTGGGGAGAGACCCCAGGCTTTCTGGGAGTCTGGAGGCCACAGCCCCACAGCACCCCTCTGGGGCCCTCAGAATCAGAACTGGGGCTCTGAGGTCCGAGGAAGGAACAAGGTCTCGGCCTGGGCTCAGCGAGGTGGGGACCCCCAAGGCCCTTCTCATCACATCCGGGGGGCTGGGACCCCTCTGGGCCTGGGATAGGAGGCTCATTCCTACCTTGCTGACTCCACGCCAGAGGATGTGCCCACCGGTGTCCCTGGCCAGGCCTCCCTGACCACTGCAAAGGACGAGGGGATGTTGGCTGGGCCCCAGGTCTGCTGGCCAGCACGATCCCCTCACCCCAGCATCCCACAAGCTTGGGCCTGGCCCCCAGCCTCAGAACAACAGGGATGGAACACCCTCAATCCCAAGTCCGGCCCTGGACCCTTCTGTCGGGGGACTCACAGGTGTAGGTCCGGGCCACTGCAAAGCTCTGCTGATTCTCTTGCCTGGAAACACAAGAAGCTGTGCTGAGCCAGGGCCTGGCCTCCCGCAGCACCAGGGACAGAGAGACAGGAGAAATGGACAGACAGGGATGAGGGACAGACCAGGGCGAGAATGAGGAGTGGCTGCTGGCCCGCCAGGGCCAGATCCAGGGCTTCCCAATGCCCCCTTTTCTAGACTGCTCCCCTGCCCATCAGTGCCCACCCTTCTCACATGGCCCTGGGCTGGAGCCAGCTGCCAGACAGACCTATGCCCCCACCCAGCTTCCCCAGGACCCTAGAGATGGTCAGGAGGGTCTGTGGAAAGGACTAGGGCAGTGACTTCAATCAGGAGCGACAAAGAGGCTGCCCCACGACCTACCACCCAGGAGCGTTTAACATTCCTAAGAGAGCACGGCCCTCTTGAGATGTGGTGAGCAAATTCAAAGCTTAGCAAACACAGCTAGGTACCTAACCGTCACCCAGAGTCCCTTTCTTCCTTGGAAACAGAACCCTGATTTTTATTTACACAGCCACATGCCCATCTAAAAGACTACATTTTCCAATAAATGGGACTACATCGAACTAAAAACCTTCTGCACAGCAAAGGAAATCACTGACAAAACAAAAAGGCAACCTAATTAGAGAAGATATTTGAAAATGATATATCTGATAAGGGGTTAATATTCAAAATATATAAATAAGTCATTCAACTCAACAACCTGATTAAAAAATGGGCAGAGGAGCTGAACAGACAGATATTTTTCCAAAGAAGACACAGATGGCCAAACAGGCACATGAAAAGATGCTCAACATCACTAATTATTAGAGAAATGCAAATCAAAACCACCATGAAATATCACTTCACGCCTGTTAGAATGGCTGTTACCAACAAGGCACGAAATAGCACGTGTTGGTGAGGATGTGGAGAAAGGGAACTCTCGTGCACTGTTGGTGGGAATGTAAATTGGCGCAGCCGCTGTGGAACAGTATAGAGAGTCCTCAAAAAACTAAGAGCTGCCGTATGACCCAGCTATCCTACTTCTGAGTTTTTATCTAAAGACTATGAAATAACTAATTTGAAAAGGTATCTGCACCCAATGTCCATTGCAGCATTATTTACAATAGCCAAGATAGCGAAGCAACCTAAGTGTCCATCAAAGATGAATGGATAAAAAAGTACTCTTGGTACATTTCAATAAAATTGTTTGGAAAATTAAAAAAAAAACAACAGATGAATGGATAAAGACGATGTCATATATATACACAACAGAATACTACTCAGCGATGAAAAGATGAAATCTTGCCATTTGCAACAACGTAGATGGAACTTGAGGGTATTATGCTAAGTGAAATAAGTCGGATGGAGAAAGAAAAATCCATATGACTTCACTCATATGTGGAATATATTAAAAAAAAGAACAAACCAAACCAAAACAAACACATAGATACAGAGAACAGGGTAGTGGTTACTAGAGGGAATGGACGAGGGGAGGGAAAAATGGGTAAATGGGATCAACTGCAGTGGTGACAGATAGAAACTAGTTTTGATGGTGAGCAAACTGTGGGGTATACAGAAGTAGAAATATAATGTTGTACACATGAAGCATGCAGTGTTATAAACCAGTATTGCCTCGATTAAAAACAAAGGGCTATATATCCCAGCCTCCCTTGCACCTAAGTGTGACCACATATTTAAGCTCTGATTAATGAAATGCAAACCAAGGTTGTTGGGACTTTCAGAAAAGCTCCTTAAAGGAGACACTGCCAACTGGGGTGCACCCTTTTTGTCCTCCTTTGTTCTTACTACTGCCTGGAATGCAGAGATGAGGGCAGGAGCTCTAGCTGCCATTTTGGACCATGAAGTGCCCTTGAGAATGGAAGCCACCACTAAAGATAGTGGAGCAGATTAGCTAATCATTAAGGCAATTTGGGCTCCTCCCCTGGACCAGAACGGGGACCTGGCCCAGCCATCTAGGAGCTCCTGGAGGGCTGGGGGTCAGGGTGACCTGATTCAGGAAGGATGCCTTAAATCCACAGAAGAGAGCCAAGCATGGTTTCCCAGGGGAAGTGATGCAGGAGGTGGGCCTGGCACACACAGCAGTTGCTTCATGTAGGCTGGTAGGACTGAACACAACTGAGGCGGGGAGAATCCAAGTCTCCCCTCCCGCTTGCCCCTATCCAGGCCCAGTTTTCCCACCTCCCACATGACTAATGAGTTTTAACTTGTGGCTCTGACCATCTACAGTTCTAAGATTAATCAGGGGCCTGGAGTGGGAAGGAACTGAGGGAGGAGGGGAGAGGGGAGGTATTGAGGAACTTGCCTTGGGGCAGGGGTGTGGGGGGCACCAGGGGAGCCCAGCTCACCCCTAGTGGAGGTTGTGGGCTGATGATCCAGAGAACCAAGTGACCCTCAAAGCCTGGGAAGGTCCAGCCCTGGCCCCAAGGGTGGGCATGGATGGGAAAATTCTACTTTAAAATATCATTGTGGTTTTTCAGTTGCAAAAGGAAATGAGAAAGGGTGTGTGTTCAAGTTTGTATGTGAGTGCCTGCCCAGGCGTGCAAGCAAGTGTGAGAAGTGCACGCATGAACAAGTGCATGAGGAGACTGTGGATGTGAGTGGGTGTGCAGGCCTGTGCACACGTGAGCACACAGGTCTCAGAGCCTCTGCCACTCACTGTAGGACACACCACTGGCCACTGCCCTCCTGCCTGGTGGGTGTTCCTGGGTCAGCCCCCTGATCTGCAGTGCCCAGCACCGTGACCCTCCCCAGGCTCACAGAGCGGCCAGCCTGTCCCCAAGGTGCCTAGAACCCCATCCTGCCTGGGTCCTGCCACTCTGCCTGGGGTCAGTGACCCCGTTTCATCTCCACCCCCACCTCCTTGCTTCCAGCTCTTCTGTGGCTCCCCTTGGCCTCTTAGGACAAAGCACAAGGCCTCACCCCACATCCAAGGCCCTCCTTCCTCCACATTCAGCTCATCTCTTGCAAGACATGCTCACACCTGCCCCTTCATCCCCAAGACAGTGTCGACCCTGGCCCTAAGTCAGCGACTGCCCACACTCTGCCCTCTCCCTCTAGGATGTCCCCTTCTGCCTTCTTTTTCCCTTAAAATCCTTCAGTCAGGTCTTCTCTGATCCCCCAGGGAACACACCATACATTGTCCTCTGAGTTCCTTTAGCATTTTCCAGGGGAGATTCAGACACAGTACCCAGTCTCTGTCCCCTGCTCCCCCAAATCCCGCTGTACCAGGAGGGCAGGATTCCTCCGTCAACCCCCAGCCCTGGCACCGCAGGCTCCCCTGGGCTGGGGTCACAGTGGGGGTTTCTGGAGATGCTCCCGGGCTAGCTGGAGTATGGTATCCCCTATTCCTAAAACTCTCCCTGGCCAGGATAGGGCAGGGTCTGGGCAGCCTCGGGGCACCCCCTTTCTCTCCCCCAACCACTTAGGACCACTAGGGCCAGGCATGGAGGAGGTCTGAGTGAAGGGTGAGGGAGGCCCAAGGGGATGCCCATGCCCAGGGCACACAAAGTCAGCCACCTGGGGACACTGAGACACTCACAGTCTCCTCTGCTCATAGATTTTCTCGGGCCTCTTTGCACCTGCAAGAACAGGACCAGATTAGCAAGCATCCGGGGGCTGGAGTGGGAACTGAGATCCGAGGCCTCCCCCATCTTGTCTCCCTGTGCCCTGTGCAGGCCTCAGACCAGACATGGGAGCCAAGCTGCCAATCACGGGGGGCCACCTGACACTGGCGGGATTTGATCACCAGTCATTTAAGAGACAAGGCAGACGCCACAGGCAGCTCAGCCTCCCCTCCCTTGTCCAGTGCAATCTGTCTGCCCCGGACTCACGCCGGTGACCTGGCCCCGTTGTCTTCAGAGGCAGTTCAGGGGCTGGCCTCCCGGGGTTTCACTTCTGCCTCTTGAGGCGTATCTGACTGCCCCTTCCGACTGCAGCCAGGTCTGGGCCTGAGAGGGTCTCTGGGTACCCCGACCTCTCCTCCCTGGCGCCCGTGACCCCCAGCCTTTACCTGGGCGGGAGCAGCGCGCGCACAGGCCGGCCGCCAGCCCCAGCAGCAGCAGCAGGG